CCTCAGATAAATAAAATCGAGGCAATTCAAAAGTGGCCCCAACCTGTAAATAAAAAGCAAGTCCGGGCATTTCTTGGAATCACGGGATACTACAGGCGGTTTATTCCCAATTTTGCCACCATTGCAGCCCCACTGACAGATCTGACAAAAGGTAGGGGGTCGGTCATGGTCAAGTGGAATCCCGAAGCGGAGACCGCATTTCAAAGGCTGAAACAAGCTCTCTGTGCTCAACCTGTGCTTGTGACCCCAGATTTCACAACAGAGTTTGTGGTACAGACTGATGCCTCTGATGCGGGACTAGGTGCTGTCCTGTCCCAAATCAGAGAAGGGGAGGAGCACCCTGTGGTCTACCTAAGTAGAAAGCTCAACAAACATGAGAGAGAAACTATGCCATTGTGGAGAAGGAATGTTTGGCCATCAAATGGGCCTTGGAGGCCCTGAAATATTACCTGTTAGGAAGACCATTCAAGTTGGTTACTGATCATGCCCCGCTCAAATGGATGTGTGATAATAAGGAGAAAAACAGTCGAGTGACAAGGTGGTTTCTCGCGCTGCAAGTGTTCAAATTCACAGTGGAACACAGAGCGGGGAAACTGCAAAGTAATGTAGATACCCTCTCCCGGGTCCATTGCCTGGTTGGGACAGTTGCTCAGCCGCAGGGGCTCGAGCAGATGGGGGGGGGGGATATGTGACAGGATGAACGGCAAAGTGATGGATGGACGATATGTGTCCCCTCGCATGAGGTCATACTGTGAGGTGTAAGGTGGAGTCCACTCCGGGTTTTCGGGGACACAATGGCAGAGGTGGTTCCGGACCAGAGTTTGGGCTCCACTAATGACCCCAACAGGTGATACAAAAAGGGCAGGGCTGGAGCAAGGAGTTGCTCGTGGCCTGGGACTCAGAGAGCTATTCTGAGAGAGCTGTGTGTGTACTATACCTACAAGAAAAGGTTTGCGTTTGTTTTGGGTGACATGGAGAAGCCCTTCACCTCTGAGAGAGGAAAGTTTCATGTTTAGTTAGTGCCTGGATGGCAAGGGTTTATTTTACTGTTTTGTTTGTTTTGACATTTTTTTGCAAACCTGTAAATAAAGCTGACAACCAGTCAGATTTTTAAGAAAGCCTGCTGTGCGGTCTACCTTTTTCCCAGGGAAGGTGATCCCCCCACCTGAGCTAACCCCACAATATATATATATATATACATATATATATATATATATATATATCTCAATCAGTTTAGGTTTGGGTTTGTTTCACCTTGTTGTATGTATTTGTGTTAGTCTTGGGTTTGGTTTGTTGCACTGCGTTTATGTTTGTGTTGTCCTTAATAAATTATCTTGTTTACACGCTATACCTGAAGTCTGTGTTTCCCTGTGTCGGTCCCACACACCTCTGGTCATTCCCAGAGCCCTGACAGAAGTGTACAAGCCCGTACACCTCATTCATGCACTGCGCTGCCATACATTGCAATGCGATTCGGCACAGCGCTTTGCAATAAAATTCAGCATATTTAAAGATGTCTAGACTGGCAGTTGGCTAATCCTCTCAGCAAGCCTCTAAGTCTGAGCCATCCAATCCCATGCCCTGCACAGCTCAGTGCTCCAGTGAGCGCTGGAGGGGCAGAACAAAAAGCAAATAATGGAGAGCCACCGGCTCACTGAAGACCAAGAACTGAGTGATTGATGGAATTTCATTGCTCAGTTCTCAGTCTTAGAGGCGGCAGGGGACAGATACAGCAATGGACTGATGCTGCACCCACCTAGGTGAGTAAAGGGTCTTTTAGCCCCTTGACGCCGATGTAACAAAAATATGCAGCCTCACCAGGGGCAGACTAACAACTCATGGGGCCCCCAGGCAATAGGGGATCATGAGGCCCCTGTGTCCTTACCCAAACCCAAAAAAGCCTACGAAAAAAGCCAATGAAAGGTACCAGGGGCATCTAATGGGGCCCCCTAGTGAGCCCAGGCCCTCAGGAAGTGCCCGAGTGCTCAAATGGTCAGTCCGCCCCTGGGCCTCACAGAACACTGGGCTTTTTTCCATGGGACCGAATATTTGTGTACCCTTTGATTGGCTATCACAGTGATCAGTCACTGTACAGCCTGGCCCCCCTTGTTTTTTTTTTTCTCTCTCTATGAATGGATCTAACTCCTGGCATAGAGGGAAAAAATGTTTTTATTTAAAAAAAAAAAAAAAAAACCTAGATCGAGGTTTGAGCTAGTTCAGTGCCAGGGTAAGTGTTTGGGTTAAGGTCAGGGTCAAAGATAAAAGGTCAGGGTCAAAGGTCAGGATTTAAAAAAAAAAATAGGTATTAGTGTCAGTCTCAGTGTGTTTTAGGTAAACAAAAAACAAAATGCATACTATTGTTTCTGGGCTGCACAACAAATAACATACACATATATGGTATCGCTGCGATCGTCAAGAGCTGGAAAAGTTATTTTGGGTTGTTCTTTGGTGGTAGGTTATGGTAGTAACACACAGCTAAATTAAAGAAAATTATTTTTTGGTTTTTTTACTATTTTGGGCCAGTTTTCCTTTAATAATAAAAATAAAATCAGGAGATATCCATTACCATTTACCACCAAATGAAAGACCAATTTGTCCTGAAAAAACAAGGTATAATTCACCTGGATGTACAAAGTAGTTGTGATGATATGGACAGTTTTATTAACACATGTCAATGTTGCAAAATTGTGCTTAGGCATTAAGATTTGTTTTACCCTTAGGCATGAAGGGGTTACAGATCCTGCCAGTAACAGCTCTTCCTGTTTCAAGCTAACAGTTCTGGGCAACTGCCCCAAAAATAAATACAGCACTTTCAGCCTGACCTTCAAGCTGCTTCAGTTGCCTGTTTGACTGTCAGTCAGGTCTATGGATGCCTTCTGCAGACCTGACAAAAAGGTCAGGCTGATGGACTATGCATGGCAAGGTGACAACACTGCTACTAAATGCAAGGCAGTAGCTTGGCTTTTTCACCTGAAATAGGAAATGCTATTACTGGTAGGTACTACAGGTAGGCTCAGTTCTTTAGGCTGGACTTAGTATTTTAAAGGTGAACTCAAAGAAACTTAAAAATATTCCCTTGCAGTGGGGCTGTGCTTGCACTGCAAGATCTCACTGCTTGTTTAGGACTAGGGGATTTGGAAAACTTACCTGATCCTCTGAATTGCTATACTGGCAGCATCTTCTCCTCCATCCTCTAGTCAAGATCAATGCAGGGTCCACAGTCCTGCACTGGACGTGAGAGAGCAGACAGACAGTCCACCACCAGAGTATTGCGATTATCATCTGCAAAGGGTGCTTAATAGTGGATTAAGTACAAGTACATTTACTCTCCCCTAGACTAAATGAGCAGTTAACTCTTGTAGTGTGGGTGCAGCCCCAATGCAGGGAAGAATTTCCAGATTTCCTGGAGGTGGGTTTTAATTTTTGCAATAATTTTTTCCATATACCTACATTTGTGCCTTACATAGTTGGTAAGGTTGAATAAGACACCAGTCCATCCAATTCAACCTGTGACTGTGTTTATGTTGCTACCATTTCCCATATCCTTGTATACTGCGGTTGCTAAGATGCCCATCTAAAAGTTTTTTTAATGTATCTACATTCCCTGCTGACACCAAATATAGAAGGGAGTTCTACATCCTTACCACTCGGACAGTAAAGAACCCTGTATGCAGTCTAAGGTTATACCGCCTCTCATCCAACTTCAATGAGCGGCCATGTGTCTTCTTAACCACTTGCCCTCCTGAGGATTTACCCCCCTTCCTGACCAGGCTATTATTTGCATTACTTTAATTGACAATTGCGCGGTCATACAACGGTACATCCAAATTAAATTTACGTCCTTTTTCCATGAATTGAGCTTTCTTTCGGTGGTATTTGATCGCCTATGCGGTTTTAATTTTTTGTGTTATAACAAAATAAAAACCAGACAATTTTGAGAAAAAAAAAAACAATATTTTTGACTTTTTGCTATTAAATATGTCCAGCAAAAAATGTTATATAAATCAAATTTCATCATAAATTTAGGCCAAAATGTATTCTGCCACGTCTTTGCTAAAAAAAAAATCCCAATACATGTAATTTAATTGGTTTACGTGAAAGTTATCGCGTTTACGAATGTCAGTATAGATACTGGAATTTTTTTTTTCTCCTACTAGTAATGGTGACGATCAGCAACTTATAGCAGGACTGCGGCAGGCATTCTGACACTGGGGGGAACTGAATTGGTGTCAATGACATCCCCAGGGACACGAATACAGTGATTAGTGCTAACAAAAAGCACTGACACTGTACTAATGACACTGGGTAGGAAGGGGTTAACATGAGGGGCGATCAAAGGGTTAACTGTGTGTAAGGAGTGTTTTACTAGGGGGCGGTGTGTTGGTGCTTCACTGTAAACACACTGCTTTGGATGGCTGTGCTGTACACAGCCATCCAGAGCAGTGTGCCTGAGCTGACAGGGAGAACTGTTAGTAAACAAAAGAGTCCTCCTCGTCAGAGATACTCTAATTATTTTGCATGGAAATATGTATTTTTTTTATTGTAGGCCTATAATTTTTAGGAATAACTCACTGAAATCTGTCCGAACAAGAGTCTAGTAAACATCCCGGGCAGGATAAAACTTGAAACACGAAATCATAAATTATAATTTAATAAATAATCATAAAAATAATAATAAAATAATGATAATAATAATAATAAATTTAATTCAATAATATAATCTAACCAAAAACACTGAAATTTGAAATATAGCTCCAAGTTCGCACATCACTGAGCAAAGTCGCAAAATTGTTTTCAGTGTCTGATGATGAATTTCCCCACGAATCATTATCACTCAATTCTGCAAGTGGTTCTGATTTACTATCACTGTTCCCTAGCTGGTCTAAAACCGCTTTTGACCAAAAGGGACGCTTTTTGGACACCATGGACGTTTCTCAGTTTCCAGGCAGAAAGAACAGTCAAAATTCAGGCAGGGCACAGGACAAAGCACTCGGGACAAAATGTATGTGAAATGGTTTGGTACAGTAATGTTTTACTATGTGAATTTAGTGATTTTAGTGAATGTCACTTTTTGTCATTTTCAAATTTCCCGCCGTTCCGTCCCCCGTACGTCCCGACGTCGCAGGGGATGGAAACCCAGATGACAGATGCCTTCATCCGCCGGATTACATTGACGGGGACACTGCAGGAGGGACATCGCGGGAGCGCAGGACAAGGTAAGTGATCGAGGGATCGCGGAGCAGTGCCGCATGGTAAGCCCGAGTGTAGCTCGGGGTTACCGCTCTTGGTACTGAAACTTTACCCCGAGCTACACTTCGGGAATACCGCCAAAGAGGTTAATCTATGCTGATAGTCTACTAACCTTGCATTGCATGCTATCGCTGAGTCTGTCATCTACTAGGACCACCAGATCTTTCCCATCCTAGATTCCCCCAGAGGTTGTTCCCCTAGCGAGTAAGTTGCATTCACATTTTCAGCCCCCAAGTGCATTACTTTACATTTTTGAATATTAAACCTCTTTTGCCAAGGAGTTGCCCACCTTATTTTTTTTTTTATCGAGGTCTTCTTGTAAAGCTGTTATATTCTATTGTGAAGTTATAACCCTGGTTATATTTGTATTGTCAGCAAATACCGAGACTGAACTATTTATACCAACCTCAATATGATTTATGAACAAGTTAAACTGAATTGGTCCCAGGACAGAGCCTTGTGGTACCCCACTTACAATTCCAGACCATTCAGAATATACATTGTTTATCACAACCCTCTGGACGTGCTTCTGTAACCAGTTTTTTTAATGCAAATATTTGCACAAACAGTGCCATTCACTTGGTTTATTTTTTTTTTTGTTGCTGACGCAGTTTATTACAGATAATATAGATATAATCAGTTACGTAGACATGTTAACTCTCCCAGTGGGATTTAAATGCTGTGTGAAACCAGAGAAGGAAACTTGGTAAGTTATATCACACAGTTGGGGCTTGGAGGAAATAATGACCTTATTAACCAATGCCAGCCTTTACATGTGAATACAAAGAAACCATCCTGAGTGCACCCTGGTAAATAAAGCAGAGATGTTTCCCTCTGTTCCCAGGGAGAAATGTGACATTAATGCAATATTTCACGTGCTAATGTGAAATGTCTGCCTCTAGAGCCAGCACACACGGTAATTTGAGTAGTGTCACAATTATGGAAATAATGTCGGCACACAATTACTTTCCAGACAAAGCTGATCTTTATCTATTATTCCTGCACAGAAGCCTCTTTTCAAAGTCCGGAGCTTTGGATTACAGTGCTCACTAGTGACATTAGTCAAATAAATGTTATTTACCAAAGATATGATCTGAAGACTGAAGTTTCTACTGTGCAAATATCCGGGTCTGGAGCAGACTGGAGTGTACTAGCCCCTGAGAAGGGCTAGTAGAGTGTGTAGAGGTCAGCTACTACAGAGGCAGCCCGGCTCTGTGTCCTACAGATAAAGATTCTGCCATATTACAAAGAAACTGCAGCATTTTACAATTGGTTTGAGAAGAAGTGAATGCAATTGATATAAATGTTTTAAATACAGTTGCAAGAAAAAGTATGTAAACCCCTTGGGATTACGTGGAGTTTTGCATGAATTGGGCATAAAATGTGCTCTGAACGACATCTAAGTCACAACAATAGAAGAACACAGTCTGCTGAACATAATACTACACAAACATTAGATGTTGCCATGGTTTAATTGCACATAACATGTAAACATTCACAGTGCAGGGAGGAAAAAGTATGTGAGGCCCTAACTTAATGACTTCTCCCAGAGCTAATTGGAGCCAGGAGTGAGCCAACCTTGACTCCAATCAGTGTGATGATATTGGATGTGTTGCAGACAGCTGTTCTGCCCTGTTTTGGGTTTACTGGTTTCAAGAAGCACTGTCTGATGTGAACCATGCCTCGCAGAAAAGAGCTCTCAGAAGACCTACGATCAAGAATTGTTGACTTGCATGAAGCTGGAAAGGGTTACAAAAGTATCTCCAAAAGCCTTGATGTTCATGTGTACACGGTAAGACAGACTGTCTACAAATGGAGAAAGTTTAGCACTGTTGCTACTCTCCCTAGGCATGGTCGTCCTGTAAAAATGACTGCAAGAGCACAGCGCAGAATGCTGCATGAGGTAAAGAAGAATCCCAGAGTGTCAGCTAAAGACCTACAGAAATCTCTGGCACATGCTAACATTTTTGTTGACACATCTACAATAAGGAAAACATTAAACAAGAATGGAGTACATGGGAGGACACCACGGAGGAAGCCATTGCTGTCCAAAAAGAACATTGCAGCACGTTTGAAGTTTGCAAAAGAGCAGCTGGATGTTCCACAGCACTACTGGCAAAATATACTGTGGACAGATGAAACCAAGATTGAGTTGTTTGGGAAGAACACACACAACACTATGTGTGGAGAAAAAAAGGCACAGCACACCAACATCAAAACCTCATCCCCACTGTAAAACATGGCGGAGGGAGCATCATGGTTTGGGGCTGCTTTGCTGCCTCAGGGCCTTGACGGATTGTTGTCATTGATGGGAAAATGAATTCCAGAGTTTATCAAGACATTTTGCAGGAAAACGTACGACCATCTGTCCGCCAACTGAAGCTCCGCAGAGGATGGGTGATGCAACAGGACAATGACCCAAAGCATACAAGTAATTCAACAAAACAATGGCTGCAACAGCACAGAATACGCCTTCTGGAGTGGCCCAGTCAGAGTCCTGACCTCAACCCGTTTGAAATGCTGTGGCATGACCTTAAGAGAGCGATTCACACCAGACATCCCAAGAATATTGCTACACTGAAACAGTTTTGTGAAGAGGAGTGGTCCAAAATTACTCCAGATCATTATGCAGGTCTGATCTGCAACTACAGGAAACGTTTGGTTGAGGCTATTGCTGCCAAAGGAGGGTCAACCAGTTATTAAGTCCAAAGGTTCACATACTTTTTCCTCCCTGCACTGTGAATGTTTACATGTTATGTGCAATTAAACCATGGCAACATCTAATGTTTGTGTAGTATTATGTTCAGCAGACTGTGTTCTTCTATTGTTGTGACTTAGATGACGTTCAGAGCACATTTTATGCCCAATTCATGCAAAACTCCACGTAATCCCAAGGGGTTCACATACTTTTTCTTGCAACTGTATCTTGGATATTGTTTGTAGATTACTATGCACATGGGGGCACCCAAATTTTCCCACTTTAGCTGCCAACAGATAGCAAAGTGCCGAGTCTCTCTGTGTGTATTAACACAAACTCTTGGATATGTCCAATGTCTGGTGTTTTGTATATGTAGAGGGTTGGTAGAGGCCAACATAGATGTGATGCAGACAGTTCTGGTCATCGGCTTTTCTCTGAGAAACAATAGCAGTTTTTTTCTCCCAAAAAAATCATTAGCATCAGTCTGTCAACAGATGCCCATAGACCAATATTCTAATCATCTTGTGTATTGACACCGCACCCTTAACACCTTGGTCAATGTCTGTGCTTCACTTCTCCATCTCTCAGTGCAAGGTTCCCAAACACAAAGGTATTACCTAATGAATAATTGTGTGAAGGCCTATGAAGAGAAGCATGGGAGACAATCTGCAGACATTTCAGGGGATTTCTGGTCCAAGTTTATTAAAAAAAGACAGTAAAAAAGTTTCCACCACATTAAAAGTTTTAGTTGCCTCTGGCTTCCTCTTGCAGCACCACTGCTCAGGCATTAAGCCTAGGCCTTTGGTTTGGAACCTCAGAGTATCTAATGTGCAGCTCTGCACCTCTTTCAGTGCCTCTCTTGCAGTTCCCTTCAGCTCTGATCCAAGTCCTGGCTTCTGGGCAGGGGACCTCCTGTCTCCTGGTTGAAGCCCTGAATTACTGCTAGACTCTTCAATATTAAAGATATGCACACACAGTCTACTGGTCTTTGGTAAGACCTGGACCCAGATTTAGGATATGCAATCCTCTTTGAAGTTTCTGGACTCCAGAACCCAAACCGGGAATCATAAATCATAAAAACAAAAACTATTTCTCCACGCATAGTAGCCATTCTGGAGCCTCTCAATCTGCATGTCTGCATCCTTGAGAACTTTGTGTACCATTTACCAACTTTTACACAGCGCAGAGCCCAGCACTATCACAACTGGCAAATAGTAGATAGTTATCATCTTTCACCTAGGTTAGCTCTAGTGTATGTGCATCACTAGGTCATGTTTGGTGGTGCTATACAAATGGAAAAATAAGCATAAATTCAACTTGACAAAACAAATTAAAATAATTGTATGCAAAATCACGTATATATACGTAATTTTGCATTTTCGGGTAGGGGGCACGCATGAGCAGTCCTACCCGTACCACCATTCACCGGGTCCCGGCCGGTGATTTCTGCTGATCTCCGACAGGGAGAACTGTTTTGTTTTACTAACAGTTCTCCTCCCTGTCAGCTTGGGCACACTGCTTGGATGGCTGTACACAGCACAGCCATCCAAAGCAGTGTGCTTACTGTGAAGCACACTGACACAGTCCCCAATGTAAAACACTCCCAGCACACAGTTAATCCTTTGATCGCCCCTCATGTTAACCCTTTCCTGCCCAGTGCTATTAGTACAGTGTCAGTGCTTTTTTTTAGAACTGATCACAAGTCAATTCCCCCCAGTGTCAGCATGCCAGCCGCAGCTATAAGTCGCTGATTGCCGCCATTACTAATAAAAATTAAAGAAAAAATTCCAGTAAACGCTAAGACTTTCACCTAAACCAATTAATTTACACGTATTGGGATTTTTTTTTTAGCAAAGACATATCGCAGAATACATTTTTGCCTAAATTTATGACGAAATTTGATGTTTAATAGCAAAAAGTGAAAAATATTGTTTTTTTCTCAAAATTGTCTGTCTTTTTTTTTTTTTTTTATATCAAATACCACCAAAAGAAAGCTCAATTTGTAGGAAAAAAAGGACATAAATGGCTTGGTCAGGAAGAGGGGTGAATCCTCCAGAGGGCAAGTGGTTAAAGTAACTTGCAATAAATAAATTACACATTTAGACAAAATTAAAATAACAGAACTGACATTATAAGCAATACAAATAGTCTCAGCGGAGGGTGTCAAGACACAAACACGGATTTATTCTATGATAATGTCAATCCTCTGACTCCATTTGGCTTAATTCACTTCCTCCTGCATTAAAAATAAACTCCAAAGCTTTCTGTGAAATGGTAAAAGGACCATGTACTTTCTATAGCCACAGTCAATCTTACCAAGTATTGTTTTCAAAGCCATCAAAAGTTTTTTTTTTCTTAAGCTGAACTTCAGTGAAAAGAAAAATCCTACCTTGCAG